TAATGAACAGGACCAATTTTTTTTTCTCAATCTGATCCTTTCTATTGGTGGTAGAATCTTAAAATGCAAAATTGTTTAGAGGAACAACACTTGCACTATATACATGATTCAGATACATGTACAATCATCTTCTGTATATAGATAGAAATGTATGGAATTGTAACATTCCAAGCCTCATGCAGTTCTTTAGCAATAGAATTTGGAGCGGGTGGGGGGACAGACAATCTGTTTGAACCTAAATGTGTCTTTAAAATAACAGAGAGAGCAAGAGAGAGAGGCATTTCTGCTCCTAAGAATAAGCTAGTCCCAATCATTCCGTACTTTTGGTGTGAAATCCTGGCTTCTCTGAAGTCAACGGCATCAGGATTGGTCTATAAAGCTACTTTTTTGAGGATGAAATTCAAACCTGCGCAGAAGGCCAACACAAGGCTACTGCATCACTTCAGTCTCACGTATGCCCTTTGGAAGACATGTCCTCCACCCCTTTTTTTCAGCATTTCTGTTTGCTAAAGGGGGCTTGATGGTGCAACAGCCCCTTTGCACAGTTTCGATTTACCCATAATGAGTGTTCTAGAGTAGTCTTGTTGCATTCTAAATAGGAAACACTAGCTACATTTTAAAATTAAATCAAGAAGAAATTCAATGGTTGGAAATGCCCCAAAGTTTTCTCTCAAAAGATGCATCTCTGGAAAGAACCTTTTATCCCTGAAACATCAACTTGTATTCCCCAGTTATCCATGTTGAATCCCTAGCTACCCATGCAGTTCCCCTTAGTTATAGGGTCTCAATTGCTTTCTTTTGTCTTTTTGTTAAAGTGTCAGTATTTGATATGCTGGTATAAATATATTACAGTTTTAAGATAGTCCCTTAAAGATGCATAACTCTTTAAGCAGTTTAGTATGCTCTTCCTGAGCATATATTTCAAACCATGACATAAACAAATAACTTACATTGAAGATTAATAAAATAGGGTTTTTTCCCATATTATAAATAAATGCATTTTATATTTACAGTTTTATCTCCACATTAACAAGTGGATGGAGGTATTTTTAACAGTAACAGAATAATAGATCCACCAATTTAAGGCTTTTGCCTATAAGCATAATTATATGGAAAAGTTAAATATTGCTAGATGAAGAGAGCTCACCATGGAAGATGCATGGCTACTCATCAAAGCTTAGTTTAAGTGCATTTATTGAAGTCAAATTTAAATTAAAGTCTGTGGCTGTGCAGTAATATGGTCTATAAAACCTATGCTCCATTTACCAAGTAACATCTGGTGGTACCACCTCACTGCTCAACATAGGCTGCAAACAGCTGTCCCCTTTGTGCTGTCACAAACACTTGTGGTGGCATAGAGCAAAAGCAAACAGACATCTATGACCTTTGTTGTACCACAAATGGCCAAATTTATGGCCATAACAAAAGGTAGAATAAATCTGTGCTGCTGTGTTGTGGCAGACATCTATTTGTTTGAAGGGGGAAAACCGTAGGCAGCCTAGAGCTACCCATGCTCTCCAGCTACCCCAGGCAGGCACTTCTGTGGCTACAGGTACCTGATCCTGTGTGACCTGCAGTATTTCACTGCAGTATTTTCTGCAGGGGAATTTTCCAGGGTGCACAGGGACAGGTCCCTGAAGCTTTGGAAGTGCCTGCTTGGGTCTCCCTATTTGCAGACACATGTCCTGAGTCAGAATTGTTGGGACACATCCTGACACAGCTGATTTGGTTTATTTGGTGACATCTGTTTATAGCCATAGAGGGCAATACCCTGCAGTGAAAATGATCCTGTTGCTTTTGTGCAGACACTGTCCAGAGCAAAGTACTGTGCAGTCAAAGTAATGATAGTCAAATCTATCTCTAACTACTTCCCACATCATTTAGCCAGTTGTAGTGAAAGGTAATTACCAAATGCTGTTAGTTTCATGTGGGAGTACTCATGTAATCATTCACCTGAGTAAGGACTCCTAAATTTAGTACTTAATTTTTAAGGTGCCCATATAATTAGAAAACTACCTTTGTAAATACAGCCATATCTCTTTTAGATCTGCTTCCTGTGAGCGTACACAATAATCTCTGCTTGCTTTTATGATGGAACATATTTGATTGCATTTCATCTAGCTCCGTGGAGTTAGTACAACTCTAGGAAATATGAGTGATGGCTAGAAAATGGTATTTAGAGGCTTGCCTTTGGGAACTGGCTTGTAGGTAAAGTATCCAGGGTTTGTAGGTAAATGATCCGGGGCAAAGTCAAGGGTTAATTGGTTTCTAAAAGCTTCCTTGTGACGAAATTTCCTTCAAGGCCCATGGTGTCTGAAGCCAGCTGACACACAGGCTGGGAAACTGAAGACATGTACCACACTGTTCCATAACATGAGATAAGGAAACATTAGGTCACAGTGCCCAACTGCTGAGCTCTTGGGATTTCTGGTTTTGGTGGACAGACCAAATCAGGAGACAAATAAACAACCAAATTAAGATGTATGCATGTGATGGGTTTGTGAAACAAAGGAATATGCTGACAGAGCAGAATGTGGACAGTATGACAACCACAGGGAGACCAATTAATGATGCCCAGGAGTGAAGAGTCATCAGAGGGGATAAAGAATACAAAAGAAGGGATTTTGGAGAACAAAAGGATCTCTGAGAAGGGAACCCAAGGCCTCCATAGACAAAGGCACACTACCAGCTCATCTCATCCACCTCATGGGGGGGTGAGGGGAAGGGAAAAGGGCCTCGGCCTTCAACCTCCAGGCTGCTGACATCTGACATTCAAGAGATAACCTCAGGGTAAAGCTTGCATACTGGCCACACATACTTTCCCTCTGGGACAGCTGTAGGAGTGGCAGATATAGAATTGTTGACCATGCCTGCATTATTATCTGCTATCACTCTGTATCACTAAAATTTGCCTATTATCAAATGAAGAAGTCATGGTTGATCTGAGAGTTTGGGTCTACCCTGAACAAGGTATCTGGATCATAAAGCCAGTGCCAACAATGAGCTTGATAGTGGATTATCTTCTGGTTCAAGTATCAACAGATAATACTCTAAGCTCCAGCTGAGCTATCTTTAACACTGGAGTTCAGATACAAACCAAACTACATTGCTGTAGCTTTCAAGCCTCAAGTTCAAGTTTTCATGACTAGAAGTTGATCACATAATGTGAGTGAATTTGGTGAATTCCCTGTGACTTTTTGTGGTGTTTTACTCAGACAAGGGCAAAGCAATTCCATGTTTGGGCCCTTGATATGGAAGTTCCAGGGAAAGACAATATAGAATCCTGAGGTTCAACATGTTGACAATTTTTGGTTATAGCAAAATACTTCTATAGAGAAATTAGGCTATGTTTGTCCAACAGAAGGTCATTGAGTTACAGAGGCATAAATTGGCCCAACCACAGACTTTATTTTAAATTGAATGTTCAGTTCTCTTGTTCCTTTTGCACAGTAAATATGCCTCTGTTTCACCTTCTTATATAAACTAGTTAGATTTCTTTTGAGACCTTTGTCTGTATAGTTTTCATCTTTCATCAAAGTAGTACTACATGCCAGCTAAACCACTATGCTTCAGACACATTAAAATGCTAGGGAAATATGGCATTTTATGGGAGAAGCTTCATCAGATTTTTTTCACTTTGCTGTGCATTTTCTACTTTACTTAAGTTATTTTATGGTAGACAAGAAAACATGAACAATAGCATTCTATGTTTAGTGTGTTTTAGTGGCTTCAGATTCAGTTGTCTCAGTCCAGCAGTTTAATAAATAATTCCTAACAGGTGTGTGGGGGAGAGGGAGGAGGGGGGGAAGGATGTTATATTCAAAACTGGAGTATGAAAAGCTTAATTCCTTCTTTCTTATATGTTAGCACTACCATAGTAATAAAGATGATGCAAGTTAAATGCCATGAACCAAAGTAATGGTCCCCAGGTATAACATGAGTTATAGTTTGGCCTGGATGAACCCTGTAACAATACTGATAGCTGAGAAAGAAGGAACCTGGCTTTGACATGCCTAGGTTGTTTATGTGAATATAACACACAAGCATCCTTTGACCTTATAAACTGCAAATTTGACCTGGAATCACATTAAAAGGCTACAGACATGGAATCTCACAATGGTGTCTTCAGAGTAGGCCTACACTTAAAGTTTGTAACAGGAAACAGTTAAAACGTTTAAGGTGAGATTCCTCTCAAAGAGGCTTGGTGTTGGCCAACTATTACCCCCATTGAAGTCACTGGGACACCATTTTTAAAGTGATGAATTTCACTGCTGAATTCAATAAAAGAAGAGTCAGGTCCTTATGAGAATATTGGGAAAATAGGGCTTTTAATATCTCCAATTCATTTATCCAGATTGTTTGGGGTTCACTATTCCCTATAGATTTTGGCACTTGTAATTCATAGAAGAACTCATTTAAGTGTGTTTAAGAAAGTAGAATTTATAACATTAATGTTATGTCTATAATTTTCTACAGTTATTTCCGTTGCACAAACAGCTGCACTACCTTTAATAAAAAATTCTGAGCGTGTACACTTCTATGAGAAGAAGAATCTTCAAAGGGAATGCATAAGCAATCAATCAGCTATATCATGTACCAAAAAACAACACAAAAAGAAGATGGATAGAATAAGTAAATGGAGGCGGGTATCTATAAAATCCCTTGTCAGGAAAATATTTTATGTTAACATTCTCTCTTTAGGACAAAATTCTCCTCCCCATCCACTTGCAAAATTTGTCTCTAGTATCCTGCAAGCCCCAACAATACATGCACAGAAATGCCAAGATTGGTACCTGCAGGGAATGCACAATATGAGTACAACATTAGAAGAAAAGATTGCTCTTAACCTTGATCATCTCTCATGTACCTAGGCAAATACAGTCATTATATTTTCTAAGAGCCAAGTTGTGACTTTGGATAAGGCAAGGAGTCCCACCTCATTCACACATTTGAGGACACTACTTGGATCTCAAAAATAAATTGCTTAAATTCACCCTCTGTCTTCATTCAAAGCAGATTTTAAATGCATATTGTGTATAAATGAGTTTGTAAGAGCAATGTGCTTTATCAAGACAGGATCCTAGTCACTGTATACCATTCAAATGGAAAGCACAGAAAAGTAAGCAAAAATGGCCATACCCCTATAACTACATTATTGGAATGATCATTGGCAGTCTTTTCATTCCCTGTAATACATTTTACAAAGTATCCGTTTTGACTTGGTCATTGTTGTTCAAAGCAGGAGAAGGCTTGCTCCTCTGCCCGTCTGTTCCTCCTTTGGATGTTTCCTGATAGAAAATTCGTGGCATCCACAATGACATTAAAATTTGTTTATATTCTTTCCGAAAATTCTGGTTAAGAAGTCCATATATTATTGCATTAAGGCAACTGTTGAAATAGGCCATGAAGTAGCTTACGATAAACAACCACTCAGGAATTTTTGGTCCCATTTCCAAAGGGTTGATGGCTACAGCCAGTCCAATGAAGTTCAGTGGTGCCCAACAAAAGGCAAAGATCACAAAAACCACAAACATGGTGAGAAAGTTTCTGAAGTCACTGGGCTTCAGTCCTGGCTTTGTTTCTGATTTGACTCTTCGTTTTACATGAATCACCAAGATCCAAATCCGAAGGTAGCAGAAGCTCACAATACTGATGGGTACTATGAAATGAATTACAACCACCACTATGGTGTAGTAGGAGCTAGCAGTCTGAACAAATGTGCAGGAATAGATGCGTGGATCATACTCTAAGGAGCCAACAAAAAAGTTTGGCACAGTTGCAATGATCGTTAATAACCAAATTAAGCAGACGTATAGCATTGTGTTCCAACAGCTATACACTTTATCATAAGCAAAGCTATGACATATGTAGCAATATCGGTTTATTGCAATTGCAGTAATATTGAAGATGGACCCTATTACGCTTAGACCCATCACAAAGCCACTCACTTTACAGTGCATTTCACCTAAGGTCCATCCATTGTGGAAGATGGCAAAGAGCACCAGTGGGTATGGATACAAGGCCACCACCAGGTCTGCTAAAGCCAGGCTCACCACAAATGCATTACCTAGGGAAGAAGAAAAGATGGATAAAGAAGTATTAGTCCTATCATAATCATATTTATGAAGAAGAAAATAGCTTCAAACATTTGTAACATGAAAGCATTGCAGGTACTGGTGAGAAGATGGACCTTAATGAAGCTAATGTCAATAGTGATCCATTTTGTACAAGCTCCAGCCTTACTCTATGGAACAGCCTGTCACATGAATGTCAGCAGGTTCTGACACTTATTATTGATAACATTGTCATCATTAGAGATAGCATTTAGAAGTGGAGACCTTCCTCACAGCCAGCATCCTGCAGCCAGTATCACTCCACCTTCCTCTTGCCAGATATAAATGTAAACAACAATAATCCATCACACAGACACCTACTAAATAAAGTTAATGTAATCCAGGGCAATCCAATCAGGCAATCAGGGCTGTCTAACTTCTTGGCAATCAGGGGCCACACACTACACAGGTCACAGACGGTGGAGGGGGAGGTGTGCTGCATGCTCAATAGACTGTTTGCCACACAGGCACTACCCCCGCTCCCTGCCATGTGGAAACCCAACTGGCCCTCCCTCCCCATCTCAGGCTTGCCCCAATTCTGGCTGGGCATATGCTGCTTTCCTGCTTTTTCACATGCTGGTGAGTTTGCCAGTCTCTCTCCAACTACTCATGCACCACAGCTACTCTGGCTCCCAGGCCGTGCGCACCACGTGGGCAGCTCCCTCCTCCCCTCCCGCTACCTTCATGCACAATATGGGCACCCCCATTCTTCCCTGCTACATTTGTAGCATGGGCAGCCCAGCCCCATTCCCCACTCCACATTCAACACAGGCACCCCAGCCCCGGCCTGCTGTGCTGCCCACATCCAGGAGCAGGTATAGGTAGCAAAAGCTGGGGAGGGAGGAGACCTCAGCTGCCATTGCCTCTAAAGCAATAAGAGGAACGGGGATTAAGCAGGAACCCACAAACCACCTTAGCTCCTCATGTACCACATGCAACACACAGATCACCAGTTAGACAGTCTTGGTGTGACCAGCTTCAGCTGTTTGGGCATTATATAAAGCACATGACTGACAAGGCAGCTTAATGGGCAGACAGTTACATCATTAGAGACTACAACTGAAACACATATAGAGGAGTTGATAAACATCATGAAGAAAGATGGCAGAAAGAAGATGAATAACAAAATAGCCAGACAATAATTTCAACTAGAGATATTTTCTTTGGTGAGTTGAGGCCTTTACTATAGTTATTTTACTACTGTAGCAACACAGGTTGAAAAATAAGACTCCTCCTCCCCTCTTTGATACAAAAATATAAAAATTCAGGGGGAAAGAAAGAAAGAAAGAATTGAATGTGCTGAACTCTTTAGCTTCCTTTCTGCTACTGAAAAATAAAATAGCACCTCTGAATAGGGCACTTTCAATCAATTTAGAGTTTCTGGAATAGACCTGTAAAGCCATTTTTAATAAAATAGTGAGATATTAAAATTTGTATTTAAAAAAGAAGAGCCTTATTCAGGATAAATAGTGGATTCACTGCTTTTGTGGGAGGAATACTGAATACTTCCCTACTCACTTCACAATGCACTATAGTGCAAAGTAACTAATGTTAGATTATTGGCATTTAGGAGGCATCAGAGGTATTATTGTCTTCACTGTTTGCTTGTTTCCTTACTTTTTTCTAAAATCCTTTACATTGTGAATGTAACTGTGAAAGAGGCAAAAGTATTTTCATATCTGGTTTAGGCAGAAATCGAGTGCTTGTTTAAGTCAAGGCATTAAATGTTTATTCTTGCAAAGGTCAGAGAGTCCTGGCTTAATGTTTAGTACATAAATAGTTAACGTGTTTAAGTGAATTTCTAGATCTGACCCAGAGTGCTCAGTACCCTGAAGGACTGAACACTTTGAAACAAGGGAAAGACGGCTTCTCTCAGTGCTGCAAATGCACTTTACTGAACCTGAATAAGTGAATCAGTTTCTCTGCTGCTCTCTTCCACTTCAACGGAAATCTGTATGTATCAACCCCTCTATATTAGCTAAAGGAGAACCATGTCTCCACAGAGGCTGAAACAGACTGTAGGCAAACATATTCCCCTCAAGACTACTAAAGAAATTTTCTGAGAGCACCTGTTAAATTTAGGAGCTCATCACTAGATCAGGTATTATCTATTTTTTGTATTCTTAGGTTACACCAACACCTTGATCATAGAATGATAGAAAATGAGGGTTGGAAGGGCCCTCAAGAGGTCCTCTAGTCCAAAACCCAGCTCAAAACCATCCCCAACTAGATCATTCCAGCCAAGGCTTTATCTAGCTGGGTTTTAAAAGCCTCCAAGGATGGAGATGCCACAACTTTTCTGGGTACAGACGATGTCCATTGTTCATTCAAAATCTCAACCGAATGCTGCAATAATTTTGTTTTGGGTTTTTGATGCCTTTTATTTGAGAGTGGGATTCTGTGCTGAGTTTCTTGGAGGTAGAGTACACACTGACAACTGAAGGGAACAGAAAGTGAAGGTGGTCCCAACATTTGAGTTAGTGATAGCTCCTTATAAGCATCTTCTGTAGTGCCTTCACCGAGGGAAATCTTTACTGGCTATGCTACATGACAAAAAGGAGACAGAGCTGGGGTGAGCATCTCATGCTGAGTGCATGTACATACTCCACATTTTCCCCATTTTGTGCCTCATAGAGGATGACACAGGTCTGGGGGATGTGGGGGAAGCAGGAGAAGAGATAGAGGGAGAGAGCCTTCTGCCCTTTAGGGAATTCTGCCCTTTTGGGAGAGAAAATTAACCACAGATTAAATGACCATAAATCCCCTTAAACATCAACCAGACAACTCATCAAAAGAAAGTTTCTATTTCCACTATAAATCTGTGCTTGGAATTTAGCCATGAGGAGATCTTTCCCATCTCATTAAGTTACTTCCATTTCAAAAGCATTTGTGAGTTGTTTATTAAATGCTGCTCATGGATAATCCAACAAACAGTAATGTATCTAGGCATGGGTGATTTGGACATCAGCCCCAGGTGCCCAGTTAGATGAGGTTCAAGAACAGCAGCCAATGTTGCCAGCCCGACCCCTACTACCCCTGCCATGGAACCTGGTTGTTATGCTTCTGATGCTGCAGCAAACCTTCTTTGCGGATGCAGTATTAATATAAGAGCTGGCACTGCACATAATCAGTATGGGTGCTGACAGCCATGGTGGGGAAAAAACCCCACACTCTACCAGAAACAGCAGTGCTTTACTTCAACCCGGCTCCACTGCATCTGTAGAGATTGGGAGTTTCATCAGGGCTGTTATCCAAAGCTGAGTCAATCACCAATTAGATAAAAAAAAAAAAAAAAGCTCCACTAAAACACCTGATCTCTACAGACTTTCGGAAAGCTGGGTGCAACTAATGCACTGCCTCTTCTGGGAATGACATTCCCTCTTCTGGGAATGCTGGGTTTGGCACGGGAGCACACCAAGTTTAACGTAATGCGCTGTTTGCTTGGGGGTTTTTTTCCACACCTGCAAGCAGCCTATAATATTAACAGTGTCTCCACAAGGGATTCAGTCTCTTGCCCATCAAGGAAAAGGCATGGCTGGCTAGTTGCTTCTTGGCAAGGAACAGTTTTTAAAAGTGAGTCAGATGGCCCCAAATGACTATGTAAAGCTGCAATACAAAGCTTCTATTTACAAATGTCTGTGAAGTAAAGTAGGTGGGAAATGTTTTGTTTTCTTTCTTAAATATTTTGATAAAAACAAAGAAAAATGCTGACATAAATGAATGATATAATGCATATTTATTATATATAATATAATGCAGTAGTTTTCAACCTTTTTGATGAGTGTACCCCCAGTGGTCAGTCGAGAAGTATGTGGGGGGTTCCCCCAGTGGCCCGTTGACAAATGGTGGGGAGGGGTTGCCCCAGTGGCCAGTCAGTGGGCAGGGGTGAGGGTCCCCCGGTGGCCGGATGGACAGACTTGGACTCAGGGGAGCGATGCATGGCGGCGGTACAAAGTGCTGGATGGCGGCAGTTGCCCCACCCCTTGCACCACCGCTTCCCAAGTACCCCCACTTCTCCGCATCACTGCCACCAATTTTATCTAATTGGTGATTGACATGTACCCCTGGTTGACAACCCCTGATATAATATATGTATATTACTATTAATTATTTACTGACAAATATCAAACCTGATTTTTTTCTGGTTAAAATGAAAAGATTTTGTGTTTTAATTGCTGAAAAGTGACAAAAAATATTTGAGGAAAATAGTTAATGAAAAATTCCATTTACTCCAAGAAAACATTTTGACAGGAAATTTTCAACAAGATTGACTGCTTGAAAACTGATTTAGTTACAATGCGCAGCAGGAACACTCAGGAATAGAAAGCAAATGGAGAGCTGAAATTTGGGCTGCGTACACATGTTCATATGATCTTGGAAACATAGACATAGAGAAGCAAGGTTGGAAGGGACCTCAAGGGATCATCTAGAATTCTCCAGGGTTTGTTTTCCTGGTACAAAACTGACCCTGAGATCAGTGCTGAAGCTGTGCAGCCAGATGGCCCCCATGCACACATTTCAGCATGCTCTGCAGACTGCCTGCAGACAGAGTGGAAGCACTGTGTTACTCTGAAGTCAAGTAGAAGGCAGGGTAGATTTGCACCTTATAGACTAACCAAACGACTTCATCAGTGAGCTACAGCTCACAAAAGCTTGTGAGATATATATTTAGTTAGTCTATAAGGTACAAATATATCCTGCCTTCTACCTGAGCAGCCTGGGTCAGCCAAACAGGACTGCCCTGTGCAGTGACACCTAACTACATCCCCCAGACTGCTGAGTAGACTAATCTACTGTGCAGTAAAGCATCGCTATGTAACTATGAGCTGAGCTACTGTGTAGTAAAATAGATTAATGCAAAGTAAGTCTGTATTTACAGGTAATAGATTTACTGTGCATAAGCTAATGTGCAGTAGCACACATATAGATGCTGACCAGGAGCAATTTGCTCCCAGTCAGCCCAGGCAGCAGGGGCCCACTGCTGCCTGGCTAAGCCCTGATGTGGTGGGGAGCTGTGCTGGCTGCAGGGGCAGTCCCTACCACATGGAGATTGGGACTGTCCTGATCCCCACAAAGCTGGGAGAGCTGTTCCAGCAGCTGGGACTGCTGCATCCAAGCCAGGTGGGGATCAGGTCAGAACCCAATTCCCACATGGTGGAGAGAGGTATCCCCACTGGAGGGGAGGCAGCCATGTGGGGATCAGGACCATCCCCATGTAGCCAGCAGAGGTGTCTCCACCTGGCGAGGATGCTGTCTGGTAACCAGGTGGGGGTCAGGAGGGTCATCTGCACAGAATCACCAAATGGCTCCAGGCAGCATCTTCCCCAGGCAGAGATGCCTCTCCCAACTTTTCTGATCCCCATGTGGCTGCCAGAAAATGTTCCCACCAAGCAACCCCACTGAGTAGAGATGCCTCTCCCAGCCACATGGGGATTGGGTCCAGTCCCCATGTGGCTGGGACAGCTCTCCCCCACCATGTGGGATAGGGGCCAATGCTGTGGCCCCTGACAGCCCCTGGCTGGTACCTGGGGGAGCCTGGAGCACCCCCTGGCTGCTGCAGCAGGGCAGAACAGGATGGGGTGCCCTGCTCTCAAGTGCTCCAGTTGGGAACAATTTTGCTCCTAAGGTGACACACATTTAGATCCATTCTGGGGCACAGTTTACTGTGTCTTATTTTAACAAGCAGTAACCTTACTGCATATTAACAGCATGTGTAGACACACCCAATGTCTCTCAGGAGGGGCAGAAGGAGCAATGCTGCAGGATTGTGCTCTGTGGCTTCTCTCAGAAGGAAACTTGTACAAACATTCACTCTCCGAGGACAAACTCTCCCCAGAATCTTTTAACCCAGGCTGTTCCCAGGTTATTTCTCTACCAGAGTGGCCCTTTTTGGTCTGGGTGAAAAATCCTGAACATTTGTACACTCATAGTTTCTACCAGGAGAGCAGCAATTCTCCCAGTAGAATCTGAATATCTGCACATGGCTTAAGAAAGATGCAGACTGCCCCGCTATGCATAATTATGTTCCTCTGTTTCTGAAAAGGTCCTTGAATATAACAAGGGCAAATAACTCTTATATTTCTGAACAGAATTAGGCAACCATAGTTCTTAAGCAGCTTTGAATACTTTACACAAAATACATATACGTGGAGTTTAGAAGCTTGTG